GGTCACAGGTCATTGTGGGAGCTGGTTCTTTCCATTTACCCTGTGGGTTCTAACTTGGGTAATTAGGCTTCCAAGCAAGGAATTTTCCTACTGAGGCAGCAGGAAGGTCCAACATACAGAGACTTAAAGAGGAATGTAGCTTCCCTTCTCTACACTGGGGAGAGGGCTGTTCTGTTGCATTTTGGAGAAACTAGATTCTAAGAACAGCTGCTTGTCTCAGTGTCTCCTCTAGATGTGGGTTCCAGCCACACAGCTTCTGCGAACCTGGGCTCTGATCCTGACAGAAAAGTGAACACTAAGAGCAGACATGAGCACAGGCTGGCAGAGAATGAGGGAACACCGAAATATGAAATTTTCCCAAACCCAAGCATCAGGTGAATCTCCGTGCAGACAGGAAGTGTCTTTGAGGAGATCTGTCCCCCTGATGGCCATATCTAAGTCTCCATTTCTCTGGTTTGTCTTCAGGATGACTTCAATGGGGACAGCAAGCTTGGTCACTCACACGATGCAGGGTAGAGGACGGGCTGACAGCAACAGCTCCTAGGGTTAGCTTGATCCAGTCTGTGACTTAACAATATTCCCATTGAAAGGAGTTATAAAATACTCCTAGCAAGTTGAAATACATCAAAAATTCTTATGCAAGATCAATCAGCCCCAGGGACCTGATCTAAACTCATTAGTCTATTATGAAAGCAGGGTCTCAGCCCCTCCAAAGGCCATTCGACTCTGGTGCAGAGTGCCGTGGGTAGAGATTGTTCCAGCTGAGCAATAAAATTCTTACTGAGTCAGAGAAAACTAGGAGAGGATCCCTCTACAGCTTTGTCACCAGTGAGGAACTGACTCACCTTGGCTGAGTTTCAGCAAGCTCCTGGAACTAATTTACACATTTTACTGCAACAACCGGTCAAAACTGGACTGCTCACCACTATTTAATCAGCCACAGGTCATGTCCTTTTTCTAAGTAATCTATGACTACATTCAGCTATAATCAAAGTCCTTCTGAGAATTACCAGTACTGATTAGATCCTAGCCATATCCATGCAGGTACATGTCCAAAGCAAAAGGCCTACAAAGCATCCCTTAGGGACTCCTGGTGGGAAATGACATCTGAGGTCACCAAGTATGAGAGCTCCAGCCCACCATTCCTGTGATACCTACCAGGTAGGCAGCCGGGAGACCTTTATTCCGGAATTGGGAATAAAATTCCCAATTATAGTTCTCAAACAGAACTGCAGACGTCCACAGTTTCTATGTGTTCATGCAACCCGAGGTCCTGCGCTGGTCACCAGAGTCACAAGTGTTAGTCACAGGTTAGGACGGCAGATAAGGACAGGGACACAGGAGGGGACTGTTTGGTGGCAAGGATTGTCCTTATTCAGGTTCAGTACTTACAGTCAACCATTAGGTCACAATTTGCTTTCTTCTATTGAACTATAACATTTAACATTAGGCGATGACATTGACATCTACAGAGGTTATTCTTGACAACACCACAACAGAGTCAGAAAAAAAAATCACACAAAAATTGGTATGTTTTAAGTAAGTTGCTTGGGCTATGTTCATAGCAATTCTGGGCTGCATGTGGCCTCATGTACCTGTCTGTGGGTTGCTGGTTGGATATATCTATGGTGAGATAAAGGTCCAAAAGGACAGAGATAAAGCCAGTGTAACAGACCAAATCCTCATGCTCCTGAATCTTCTGAGAAGCCCAGTTCAAACTGCCTACCACACAGCAGAGGGTTCACGTCCTCATGCTGCCAGATCCCTTCCATTCGGGCCGTGGACCTCAGGGTGGGTCCCTCTGGGCACAGTGCCTTTTTCACACCCATGGAAGATGCTCCTGTAACTCCCGCCGAAGGACACAAAGGAGGCCTTTCAGTAGCTCTGGCCTGGTGTGTGAAGGAGAACCTAGCTCAAAGCTGGACGCCTCCTGAGTACAGCCGCTTTGCCATGGTTCAGAGAGTATCAGCTGTGAGAGCAAAATACCATCGAGATACAGGACAGTGCTAGGATATAAAGAACAGCAACTTGAAACATAGACTCTGTAGCTAAGTCCCTGAACTTGAAACATGTTTTCATCTTGAGCTACCATCAGGGAAGACTTTATACTTGATGTGGGATTCCCCTCTGTATGCTGTGAAAATGGTTTATTACCACTGGCTAATAAAGAAGCTGCTTTGGCATATGGCAGGGCAGAATACAGCTAGGTGGGAAGTCCAAACAAAGATACAGGGAGAAAGAAGGCAGAGACAGAGAGACACCATGTAGTTGCCAAAGGAGGCAGATGCCATGAGGCAGCTCAAGAAGCAAGAGGTAACAAACCACGAGCCTCGTGGTAAAATATAAATTAATAGACATGGGTTCATTTAAGATATAAGAGTTAGTTAATAAGAAGCCTGAGCTAATAGGCCAAACAGTGCTATAATTAATATAGTTTCTGTGTGATTATTCGGTTCTGGGTGGCCAGGGAAATGAATGAGCAGTCTCTACTTACATATACTGACTAAGCACCTAAGTCTGACAGCCAAGAGAACTCAGGTGTCAAACAAACCAACTGGGTTTGGAGAGCAAGCTCAGTGAGTAAAGTGCTTGCTCTACAAAAAAGAGGACCTGAGTTCAATCCCCAGAACCCACATAAAATCACTGGGTGTCCTGGGACATATTTTTAAAGCCAGCACTGGGCAGGTGGAGGCAGGAAGGTCCCTGGGTCTTCCTGGCCGGTCAGCCCAGCCTACTCAGCAAGTTTCAGACCAGTGAGAAAACCCATCACCAGAAAAAATGATGGGCCAAGCCTGACGAGTACCACAAGGACATGCACACATGAACATGTGTACACCCATGTAAACATCCACATGAATATTAACACATACATAGACACACAAACATTTTTAAAATGCATGAGGCCACATCTGCTCTCCACAAGGTCAGAATCTTGCAAATTTTAAATGCTTATGAGCCTGATAGTGTGAATTTTCTAGGGCTACATACATGGCCAGCGCCTTTGATCTGCAACCAAGAACTAACCAGTAACCAGATGGAGCCCAAGTAGTGGAGACTGTGATACCCCCGGGAAGCTGGAACCTGGGACATGCTTCACCAAGAAAGCAGGACAAAGGACAGATGATATTCGGGAAGCAGTTCAGCAGAGAGTTAGATCCACTAGAAAGAGGAGGTCTTAAGTCTGAGGAGCAAAGTCTATGGTATTCCAAAGGTCTGAGAGATTAAAGGAAACTGTGACCCTTGGCTGGAGGCCAGTGTAAGAGCTGCCTGGGCAGCTTGCAGGCAGTGAGAGCTCAGCCCAGCTACCAGAATCTAAGACTCTGGGTCTGCACCCTGGGAGCAACCAGAGGTCACTTCTACACCTTACAGGTACACTTGGCTACACCCCACCACAGGGCCTCCACCCACCACACTCTGAACAGAAGAAAGCAGAAACTTTATACGTCTCCTGGGGTGGGGATCTTTTACAGGAGTGTCTGAAACTTACATGCAGATTGGAGAGCATATTATGCCCTGGTGACAGTGGTCTCAAAGTCCACTTCTGAGGATTATAGCTCAGGTTCCAGTTCATACCTGTTTCAGGCACACCCCGGACACAGAGATCTGAGAGACCAGCGTGCAGCCTTGCTTTGCAGCTACTGCCCCTCCTTGCTCACTGGCCTTTCTGTTTTCCATCTCTTTTCTGTTTAATTTTACACACTTAAAAGCATGCACACAGAATAATAGCTTTTGTTACAGCATTTTATATACATATCTCACGGATTTTGCTCACATTCAGTCCTCATTGTCTCCTGTCAAATGTTGTGTGTGCGGTGCTTCCCAATCGCTGAGAACATCACTCAGTCACTTGATAAATAAAGGTGGAAATCTCGGACATCTCATAGCATAGACAGGGGAAGGAAAATGGAAAACCAAGCAAGAATTCACGAGAGAAAATGATGTGCGGGATTCCACACACAAGCACTTTCCTGCCGGGGAGCTTGCACAAAGTCATTCAGTCAACAAATCACCGTACATGTAGAGGGTTACTGTTGTTGAAGGTCTGAAAACAATGTCCGAGGCTTGACAGGGTTGCCAGGATTTACTGGAGAGCAACCCTGAAGCCCTGAAGTCCTCCTAGATGTAAATGAGGGAACCTGAACCTTGATGGGTTGTTAAATGTGATCCGATCAGGCAGCCCCGGCCCTCTCAACTCTCTAGCGAGCCATTTTCAAAGGCAAAACAAGGGAGCCCATGAGTAGGGAGCAGACTGGAATAGGGAGACCCCTAACATTACCACCCTCCTCCCACACAGTTAGGGACCCTCTCATTCGCCTCCCAATTTCCCCAATGTCTACGGGTGAGACCCTTGTGTGGCATGTAACCTCCAAGAGGCCATGGCCAGAGAGAGGCTTCCTGTGCAGACAACACTAACAACGGCTGCTGAAAGCAGTTCTTGCCTGCCTGCTGCAGGAAGGATGCATTAGGAACATGGCTCCCGGTGCCAGAAGAGAATTAAGACACTTTTAAAAGGGTCTTCTTTTAACTACTTGGCGTTTTCTTACCTGCCCACCAACCGTGGTGTAGTTAGTTAGTTTAGTTAGTTTCGTTTGCCTTCATCCTTAGCTCAGTAATTTGCATGCTAATTTACTCATTCCACAAACATTCCTGAGGTGTCTAATATATGTTACATGCTATTTTAGGCACTAGAGAAGGCCAGGGGAGAAAAGAAGCCCATGTCCATTCCAATGGAGAGACTGACTTGTATATAGGATGTCTGAAGTTGGTAAGAGCCTCTGTCAATAGAGATAAGCAGTAGAACATTCCAGCAAGGAGAGTGATGGTGTCTTAATAAGATGGTCAAGAAAAGACTAAGAGGCATAGACAAATGGAGGGGTAGAAATCACAGCTCCATTCTGAGAATGAAGGAAGTGTTTTTTATAAGATGTGGTCAATAAGCAGGTGCACCGGCCAGGTGGTGCCAAGCCCGAGGCAGCAGTGGTGGCCCTGGTGGTACTCACCTCCTCCAGCCTCCGCCTCTGCTCCTTCTGCTCCTCGATGCGCTTCTGGCGCTCAGCCAGCAGCTGCCGCTTGTGTTCTTCATTCTCACGCTGCTGCTGCTCCAGCTGTTGCCGCCGCAGGGCCTCTGAGCGCTCCTTGTTGGCCAATTGCAGTCTCAGGAAGTCTCGCCGCAGTGTTGACTCCCCTGGCAGGTTCAGAATGGAGCTGTGGACAGGAAAGAACATGGGAAGGCCTCATGTGATGAGAGCCATCGCAACTGTGGGTCCTGGGGGAGGAGGCGGGAGAATAGGCTTTGCTCCTGTTTCAAGATGACCATTCCATATGTATGCTATCTCTCTCCCTAAAGGAATATCACATCCTTCTCGAGGACTGTCCACACTACTCTCTGCACAGTGCATGGCAAGGATGTGCTTCATAACACTTTAATGAGTGTGCAAGCCCCAAGCCATAGGCAAGCTTACCCCTACATATAAGATATATAGATATACAGATATCAGGGGCTATGGAGATGGATCAATGGTTAAAGAGATTGCTGTGGCAGCATGAGCCCGAGTTATTATTTCCAGAGCCCACAATAAAAGCTGGGTCCAATAGCACATGTGTCTGTAATACTGCCTTCCTTTGGGAAGATGCAAGGCAGAGGATTCCAGAAGCTTGGAGACCAGCTAGCCTGGTGTGCATAGCAGCCTACAATGAGATACTCTGTCTCCAAGATGACTGGAAAGAAAGACCAACGTCAGAGGTTGTTCTCTGACTGCTAGACATGTGCATCCTGTGCACACATGCATGCGTGCACATACAATGCAGCACAACCCAAACACACGTGCAGGTACATACTCGCACACACACACACACACACACACACGAGAGTAATAGAGTAAGAAGACCCTTACTCTATTCCCAGGAGCGAATGCCCTCATATGCACCTCCTCGACAGCTTATCCCAAGGCCCAATAGGCAGAGGTCATGCTACTCAGGGGAAGATGCACCAGGAGAAGCAAGTTTGCGATAAGGTTGACAAGGATCTCAGGCCAAGTTTGTGCAGTCCATGCTGCCCAGGGCTTGTCTCAATACACCCCATTGAAGGGCATGGTTCTCATCACAAAGTGTATGCTGAGGACTGTACTTGCGGAGACTGAGTTCTAGGTTATGTTTAACATAGTAGGTTTAAGTGTACATGTGCTCACATGCATGTACATGTCTGTGTCTCTGTGTGTCAGTGTGTGTGTGTGTGTGTGTGTGTGTGTGTGTGTGTGTGTGGAGAGAGAGAGAGAGAGAGAGAGAGAGAGAGAGAGAGAGAGAGAGAGAGAGAGAAACTGCAGCATTACTACTGGTGGTCCCAGGCTTCCCCACCCATGTGCAATAGCAAAAGGTCTGAACCCTCAAAAGACTCAGTTTCAGTATAATTCTTTACATTATGGTTTTGGCACCCCCTCATGGGGTTTTCTAGAGTATTTCAGGGAGAAATACTCAGAAGGAAGACTTGCCCACCTGTGATTTGAGGATAAAAAAGTCTCACTTTGCCCCATGAATATACCATCTCCTTCATAGATATTCCTAAGAAATTCCTTAAAATCCACAAGATAGAATCCATAGTGCTGCCATCCTTTGGGACAGCCCACTTCAAACTCTCCTCAGATCGCTTGCTTTGTCTTGTGGTTGTAAACTTCCACTGGAACTGTTTCTCTACAGAATTCCTTCTTTTGAGAAGAATCCAGAAAACCCCTATAACAGATAAACACATTCTCTTTCTACAGTTGCTTTCTTATGAGAAAGAGGGACAAGGCAAATTATTAGAAATAAAATAGAAAATATTCACAGAGAATACAGAAATGATGGTTTATAGGTGTGGTGGTTGAAAGAATATGGCCCTGCAATGGGAGTGGCACTAAAGGGAGGTGTGGCCTGGTTGGAGTAGGTGTGGTCTTATTGGAGGAAGTGCGTCACTGTGGGGACTTTGAGGTCTCCTATGCTCAAACTACACCCAGTGAGGCAGACCACTTCCTGTTGATGCGCAAGATGTAGGACTCTCAGCTCCTGCTCCAGCACCATGTCTGCCTGCACTCTAACATGTCCCACCATGATGAAAATGCACTGAATCTCTGAAACTGCAAGCTACCCCAAATCAATGCTTTCTCCTTTAGAAGAGTTGTTGTGATCATGTTGTCTCTTCAATAACTAAGACAGAAGGGTTAAACTTTACAGTGGCCAGGAGCTGAGATAAGGATCAGGAAGCCCACTCCAGGGAGGTGAGAGGTGATGGAGAGAAAGGCTGCTCCAGGCAGAAGGACAAGCAAATTTAGACTTTGATGGAAACAGGCTGGTCTTGTCCTAGAACTGGTCTCTGGTCTTTCCTCCAGAGGCAGAAGCAACGAGAAGGCGTGTGGAGCAAGAATGATCAGAGACAGACCATCAAGGACACAGGTGGACGGGGGAGCCATGCCTACAAAGGCTGTCGGCTGAGTCGTAACACTGGCTTCAAAGTGGACTGTAGTCTGCATGGACAGGAGGGCAAAGCTAGCCATGTTTCCTGGTGGAGGCTTGACCCAGCAGGGAGCAGTGGGATGAAGCTCAACACGGTGGAAAGATCTAATGTGCAGGGTGAGGGATGGCTTGCACTTTCATTGGGTCTGCTGGTGACAGTAATGACAAGAGGAATGAGTTTCGGGACGCAGGGCAGGTTGTTGACAAGTGTATCAGGTTGGTTTTGGTGAGCTGTTAGAATCTGTGCGAGATGTTGCCAAAGGGAAGGTCAAGAGCTTCCCTGAGGGCACACCTTGGGCAGTTTGGGAGTCTCCTGGGAACCCCTCTACAACTTAGTGTCTGTGTAAAACTCTAAAGCAACTTCCAAACACTGGTGCTTGTACACATAAGTCAAACGCTGCGAGCAAAGCTGATGAGGTTGGGGACCCAATGCCACATGCAGACAAGGATGCCCCACTAATCTCAGCTGATGCTGAACTAATACCAGAAGACTGCAGTTATATTAATGACTCAGTTGCTAGCTCTGTGTATCGCCTGGTGACACCCCTGAGCTACCTTCTCACGTCTAAAATGTGAAAACCATCAGCTTTCTCTACGTTTTAGGATTTCAAGATGACTAATTAGACTCGTTCAAAAAATGGGACTTGGTGCATAATCTTCCCCATGATATAACAACATGTTATAATTATAGCTGGTGGCTCACCAAGTGACCCCTGACACATAGAAAGTCCTGGGAAGCTTGGATATCTCCAATATTCAAAGAACAGCATCAGCCTGACACAGCCATCTGGACTGGAGGCCGAGTGTGGCTTCTCTGACAGCAGGGAGTAAGGCCCTTAGTGCTAAAGAAGGCTTCATTCTGCATGGCACTGTTTGATGGCCATTGTCTTTATGCATCTCAAGTGGGGGCAGCTAACATGTTCTTTTCTTTTTTTTTAAGATTTATTCATTACATATACAATGTGCCTCCTGCATGTACACCTCCATGCCAGAAGAGGGCATCAGATCTCATTACAGATGGTTGTCAGCCATCATGTGGTTGCTGGGAATCGAACTCAGGACTTCTGGAAGAGCAGCCAGTGCTCTTAACCTCTGAGCCATTTCTCCAGCCCCCAGCTAACATGTTCTGACGGAAGAAAAGTATTCTCCTTTGGTCTTTATCCTTGAGAAATCCTGAGGCAGATGAGAGAGAAAAACTAACGGCCTTGTGAGCTCAGTCCCAACCTCCCAGGGTGGCTTAACAAGAACCCAGCTTGTCAGGTTCAAGTTGAGTTAGGACTGGAGTTCTCGCCTTCCCAGTGCTGCAACCCTAATACAGCTCGCTCCTCATGAGGCGCTGATTCCTAGTCAGCAAAGAAATGCTTCATAACTGTAATTTTGCTAATGGTATGAATTGGAGTGTACATATTTGATGTGTAGGATATTTGATACGTGACCAACAAAGGGGTTGCGACCCACGGGTGGAGAATTGCTGACATCAAAAGACAACAAGAAGCTGGAACAACATGTCAGTCAGTAAAGCATTTCCATGCAAGTGTGGGGACCTCATTAAACAGCTGGGTGTGGTGGCAATTGCTCGCAATCTCAGTGATGGAAGGGGAGACCACACGATCCCAGGAGCTCACTGGGCAGTTGGCCTGGCCTAGCCAGTGAGCCAGGCCACGGGAGCCCTTGTTCAAAACACAAAACTGAGCTCCATGGGACTGTGTTAAACTTGTTGCCTCATTTTGCTTTGTTTAGGCATTTTTGCCTTCCTGGCCTTTAGCTTGTATATTATGTTTTGATTTTGTGCTTTTATGGTTTTTTTGCTTTGCTTTGTTTTTGTGTTTCTTGAGCTCTTTTCTTTTTGATATTTTTTTTGGCCATTGTCTTGTTTGCCCGTTTTCTAAAGAGAGAAAGAGAAAGAAAGAGCATGGAGTTGGGTGGATGGGGAGGATCTGGAAGGAGGTGGGTGAGGGAAACTATCAGAATAACATGAAATAAGTCATTTTATATATGTTATATATATGTGTGTATATATATGGAAAAGAATATAACATATGAAAAAATCATTTATATATATACATATACATATATATATATTTCACATATATAAAAAAACAAGATAATGCTTGATGAATGATAGCTCAGGTTGTCCTTTTAAAGTCTATGCTGGCTAATTTTTGTCAACCTGATACAAGTTAGAGTCACCTGGGAGGAGGGAACCTTAGCTGAAGAATTGTCATTATCAGACTGACCACTAGGCATGCCTATGGGGGATTAGGGCCCAGTGTGGGCAGGTGATCCTAGGTTGTGTAAGAAAGCAGACTGAGCAAGCCACGGGGAACAAGCCAGTAACCAACATTTCTCCATGGTCTCTGCTTCAGTCCCTGCTTTGACGTCTCTCCATGATGAACTACAATCTCCATTCCAGAATAAACCCTTTCCTCCCCAAGTTGCTTTCGGTCAGTGTTTTATCACAGCAACGATACAGCAAGCTAGGATCGTCTCCACATGTAGCCACATATGCTCCCCGCACACATCAACATGCACACAGGGAGGAAGGGAGGGAAGGATGGAGAGAGAGAGGGAGGGAGAGAGAGAGGGAGGGAGAGAGGGAGGGAGAGAGAGAGGGAGGAAGGGAAGGAGGGAGGGAGGGAGGGAGGGAAGGAAAGAGGGAGGCAGGCAGGAAGAAAGGAAAGAAAGAACGAAGGAAGGAAGGAAGAAGAGGAAAAACGTTGTCTCTAGCTTATTTCTGCAGCGTGGTCCCTCGGCAGAACAGAACACTCTGTGAGTGAGGAAGCACCTGCTCCTTACGCTGCAATCCGAGGGCTAGAAACCTCAGAGGGCATGGACCCGTCATTCCCAACGACCTTTCTGCGTGTTCATTTTCTCCACAATTGCCAGTGCATGGTCCATGGGATGCACAGAGCTGATGCCCTTGGAACACTTTCACCACAGGGAACCCCAGCGCCATGAGCACACCAGCCTCAGTTACCCATAAATACAGATGGAAGGAAGTGGGACTCAAAACCAAGCAAGCCTCCAAATGTGGAGACAGCGACATTAAAGAGCGCTGGGATCCAGGGGACAACAGGAATGGTGGGGATGTTTCCACCAGGGTTCACCTCTGGAGGACAGTTTGATCTTCTAGAATCACCTCCTCCAGCCGTGGTTCGTGTGAAATACCAGGACACATGTCAGTAGCCATGGCCACCTGAAAGGCTTCCAAGAGGGATGACAGAAGCTGAACGACTCTAATCTGGAAATGTCACTTAGCTCTCTCCAAAGTCACAATTTTGAACACTCTCAGCACTGTGCTAGCCAAGAAATTGCTTCCTTTCTATTCCATATCTATATGTACGAGGAAACAAGGTCAAGAATACAGGCCATTCCTCTTGGTGGATAAGATAAAAAATATGCTGCTGATTTCTGCAGTGTTTGTAAGAGTCTGCCTAGGGAAAATTTCACACATCAATGAGTATGTGTATGGGTGATACATTAACTTCTGGTGTGTTCTTTGAGACAGAGCAATAAATCCAAAGGAGAGTGCGGTTTGAGTGAGCCCGCTCCAGTCTGGTTGTGGGAAGGCCCAACATTCCTCATACCTGGGTTCCCCGGAGTCGTTCTCTTCCTCTTCCTCCTCGCTTCCACTGTATTCATACTCAGTCTCATCTGGAGAGAAAGCACAGAGGGTTAGTGTAAAAGATGGTGCTGGCGCTCAGAACAAACCACCCCTGCTTCATCAGCGTCCATGAGCCACACCACTGTGCCAATGGACGGCATCTGTAGCCCCAATCCCATGAGATGGTGGAGCTGAAATACATGACTCACCTGTCTGTGACAGGGGTGGCATGAGCTAGCACAGGAGAATACACACACAAAAGCATGTGTAATGTGTTCTACTTGGTAGCAACACATGATCTCAGCACTAATCTATACTAAAAGCTTAGAACATGGGAAGTGCAGGGAATCCTAAATTTAATCCCACTCCTGTTTTTTTTTTTTTTAAAGAATAGGTAAATGTGATTGATTCACTAGGAACATTCATTTAATTTAGTAACATAATAAGCAACTTAATGTATAATAATAGGGTTGAATATTTGCTTTAAACACTATCAGTATACAATGAGAAAGACTCAAGCAGGAATACAAGATCGTCATTTCCATGGCTATAAAAACAGGAAACGAATGTTCTGATGGGCATCTCACATATGAGCAATTAGAGTTAAATGTTTCAGATTTGTTCTCTCATTTAATCTCTAAAATAAGGGAGGTAGTCAGATTGCAAACTTACAACATCTTCATATTAATAAAAGGTCCATCTGGGATGTATATTTAGAAAATATTGAAATGGTTCAATGTGAAAACCAAAGTCTCCCCTAACACATTCCATCCCATGCAGAAGCACACACAAGGCAATGGGAAGTGAGATTGGGGAGCAGCTGTCTCCCCTTGCTCAGAATGGAGGATGGGAGTAGTGAGCACTGAGGAGGTGCTGAGCTGGCAGGACAGGAAAATGACATTGTGAATGATGTGCCCCCACTGAGACTGTCCCCACCTAGCATTGTAGGCTCGAGGAACAGCGAGTCCTGAGAAGGCAGGTGTCTGGATGTGGGAAAGCAGATCGTGAAATCAAGGCCACCGGGATACAGTGACTCCCAGTGCTGTGCTCAGTACTTCTCTATAGGTGTGAGAAGCCCTTGGAGAAGCGTTGAAGCAAAACAAGAAGCCACAGGACGGTCACTTCTTTGTGGGTTATTAATTCCTAGCCTGAAGATATTCAACAGGACTGAAACTGCAATTTTGCTATATTTCCATTAGGAGGCAGTATTTAGAAGAAAATCAGATTGGCTAAAATTCTATGCAGATATCAGAGGATGAAGGAAAGGGAAATGGGATGAGCTTGTGTGTACTGTATAAATGTCAAGCAAGTCTCACACAGAAGGTGAGCAGCAAGTTCTCAGGCGGCCTGTTTTTAAAGAATGTTTTCACCAAACTTAAAGAACCTGCAATCAAATGTCTGTACCTCATATTGAAAAAGTGAGTTCTCACAATGGAAAAACAGTGTTCGGTTTTACTTAATGAAGGCAGCTGTAGTGAACAAAGAAGCACACGGTCACCCCAATCGCGTCTGTTTTCTAATGTAAACCTTTAACTTGCCCGTCTTTCCGATTTTAACATTTTATCAGGTCTGAGCTGGATTTCCTTTGCACTATAGGTCATATACAGCAGAAAAATAAAACTCTTCAGTTCTACCAAAAGCTAGTCATAAAGAGATCTAATGGAAAAGGTTAAAAAAAAATGAAAAGGAGATTTGAGCTGGAGAGGTGGCTCAGCAGTTAAGACCACCTTCTGGAGGACCAGGATTGATTCCCAGCATGCACATGGTGTCTCACAACCATCTAGAACTGTTCCACAGGATCTGATGCCTGCTTCTAGACTCTGGGTACTATACATCTGGAACTCCTGTTCCATGGCATCTGATGCCCTCTTCTAGACTCTGTGGGTACCATACACCTGAACTCCTGTTCCATGGCATCTGATGCCCTCTTCTAGACTCTGTGGTACCATAAGCATAAGGGATATACATATGTACATGAAGGTAGAACAACTCATACATACAAATTAAACAAATATTATTATTTTTAATGTGAAAGGGCCTGAAGAGATGTCTCAACAAATAAGAGCATGTGCTGCTCTTGTAGAGGACCTGGGTTTGGTTCTCATCTACATTGGAGGGCTCACAACCACCTGTAGCTCCAGTTCCAGGGGAATCTGATGCCCTCTTCAGGCCACCAAGGGCACCGCATGCAGATGGCACTCACAAATTCATGCAGGCAAAGAAAAACATATATAAACCACCTGGAAATTGGAAACAGACAAGATCACCTGAAGAAATTGGAAGCATGGGGGACAGGGGAGAAGGGAAAGGTTGAGGAGAACTTGAGGGAATGGGATAGTTGAGATGGAGTAAGGACAGAGGTGAGAGCAAGGAAAGAGATATCTTGATTGAGGCAGCTATTAGTAGATTCACAGAAATTTGGCTCTAGAGAAATTCCTAGGAATCCACAAGGCTGACACCAGCTAAGACCTTAAGCAATAGAGGAGAGGGGGCCCGATCTTGACTTGTCTTCTAGTCAGACTGATGATTATCTTAAATATCACCATAGAAACTTCATCCAACAACAGATGGAAACAGAGGCAGAGACCCACATCAGAACACTGTAGTGAGCTCCCAAGATCCAGTTGAAGAGTGAAAGGAATGAGAATATGAGCAAAGAGGTCAAGACCATGATGGGTTCATCCACTGAAACAGTTTACCTAAGCTAATGGGAGCTCACCAACTACAACTGGACTGGGAAGGAACAAGCATAGGACCAAACTAGTCCCTCTGAATGTGGTTGACAGTTGCATGGCTGGGGCAAATTGAGGGGTCACTGACAGTGGCACTGGGATTTGTATCTACTTCATGTACTGGCTTTTTGAGATCCTATTCTCTTTGGATGTATACCTTGCTCAGCCTAGATATAGTAGGGACCTTCCACAAAGCAATGTGCCTAACCATCTCTTAGGATTAGATGGTGGTAGGGTAGAAGGGTATGTGGAGGTAATGGGAGGAAGGGAAGGAGTGAAAATTTGGATTAGTATTTTTTTAATTTAATAAATTAAAAAAATCAATAGGTATTTTTAGAATGTGAGAGATCAAATCAAATCATTTATTCAGATTGAGAGCTTTTCTGATCTAATACTCTCCTTTGTTAATAGAAAAAATAAGACCAAAACTATGATTCTGGTAGATTTAAGTCCAAGCAGCAATCCTGATTCCTTTCATTTTGATACAGCCCTTGCCATGTACTTAGCTCCAGGTCCCCTGCTTTTCCACACTACAGAGAATGAAGTAGCCTTCCAATCATGATGGAACCACAATTTCTATGTTACATTTCAGTATTTGTGGCACCAAAATTTGAAAACAATCTAAAGCACAAATTTTTCCCAATTTTATTCACTGAGTCCTCAGAAGGTCCCTTGAATAGTTCCCAAAAGTGATGGGTCAAAAAAGAATAGACTAAGAGTGAGTGCCAAAGTTTAACTATGTACTAGATACAGTAGTAAGCATTTTACATACATTATCTTCTTCAGTCTTTGCAATGATGCTAGGCAGGAAGTTATTATGTCATTGTGGTTGCCCAGTCCTTTTTTTAAGGGATGAGAAAACTGGGGTTGCTGTGAAACAATGGTCTTGTATTGTTTTAATAAAACACTGACTGGCCAGTAGCCAGGCAGGAAGTATAGGCAGGGTAACCAGGCACGAAGTAAACGTGGGGTGACAAGAACAGGAGAATTCTGGGAAGAGGTAAACTCAGCCTGCAGTCATCACAGAGGAAGCAAGATGAGAATGCCTCACTGATAAAAGGTACCAAGCCACATGGCCAAAATAGACACTAATGGGCTAATTTAAGATGTAAGAATTAGTTAATAAGAAGCCTGAGCTGATAGGCCAACCAGTTTATAATTAATGTAGACCTCTGTGTGTTTCTTTAGGGACCAGAGGCGACAGAAACCTCTGTCAACATGGGGTGAATTTCACATAACAGAGTCAGAGTTGGAATCTGAACCCAGAATCTGATCTTAAAGCAGTCAGACTATTTAGCCTACTCAGTATGTACATATAAACTCCCTCTTAAAGAATAGGCACTTAATGGCTGTATATTTGACATAATGCTCTCAAGTGCGGTTTTGAACATTTCACTTAATGGCATGGTCCAAGACTAAAACGACAAGGAGTTGTTGAAAAGTCAGAGATCTAGATCTTTCCAAAACCAACCTACAGCTTTGTTTTTGGGTCTAGCAGCTCCAGCTGGGCTGGTCTTTGGGACCTCATAAACATCTTATGCCTACTGACCCACACTGGAGATGAAGGCCTCACCACCTCCCACTTATGTCTCAGTAAACTGAACTCTTTCGGAGTCCCTGAGACTGGCTGATGAAGCAAGAGCCATTTTCTTGAAGGGTTGCTGAAGAGTTGTCCACCTCCCTGGCTTCTGCTGATGCTACCAGTCAATCCAGTCTGTTTACCACCTCCATGCCTCTCTTCATACTTGTTGCTGCTTTGTTATTACAAAGAAACAAGATTTACACAGTGAGAGGCTTCCATCTGGTGCTGTCTGCTAACTTCTGTCTGCTGCCCTGTACTAAGGACAGGAGAGGGGGAGGAGAAGAAGGAACTGGGAAAAGTACACCCACCTCCCCAAGCCTCTGGTCTAGCACACTCACCTACTCTGGCCTCTGGTCTAGCACACTCACCTACTCTGGCCTTTGGTCTAGCACACTCACCTACTCTGGCCACTGGCCTAGCACACTCACCTACTCTAGCCTCTGGTCTAGAACACCCACCTACTCTGGCCTCTGGTCCAGCACACTCACCTACCGTAGCCTCTGGTCTAGCACACCCACCTACTCTGGCCTCTGGTCTAGCACACTCACCTCGTCCTGCCTCTGGTCTAGTACACCAACCTCCTCTAGCCTCTGGCCTCCCTAGAACTCCTGTTAGACCTTGGGCTTCTTGTCCTCCCTACCTTATGCTTAGCTGGCCACAAGTCCTGCACCAGAACACGCAGCTGTAAGCGACCATTCCAACAACTTGGGCATGGTCCCAGTGTCTCAAATCTGGGCTCCTGTGCTCTCCATGGCACAGAGAAGATTATGGAAGAGGAATTTGTGCATCTACGAAATGAAGAAGTGCACCTCAGGACCTTTGGCTCAAAATCTGATGCCTGCCGCTAGCCTGACAACCTAGTGAGCCTCTCTGACAGACCCAGTGAGGAGTTCTGTCTGAGTTCCCCACGACTGAATTAGAAACAGATCTTGGAGCACAGAGACATAAATGCTGATGGCTGTCAATACAGAAAAAATGTCAGTTAGATGAATTCTGTAGGTTGTCTGCCATGTGTAGATGTCACTGTTTGAAACGTGAATATTCATTTGAGTTAAGATAAATCACTTGTCATTTAGGAGCTTGGAGTGTCACTAGCACGGCTTTGTTTGCTGCCTAGAAGAAGAGGGGCTGTTGCCACAGGCCATTTTTTTCCATGGAGATTTGCCTTCAATGGTGATTTCATTCCACCAATGCCCAAGGCTATGATCTACCAGGCCATCCCTCACCCAAAAGAATAACACTGTCTTTTGTTTCCTTCTCAGAAATACAAATGTTCAGCGAACCTTTTTCTCCCCGCTTTTTCTTTGTCCTGTCGATATGGTCCTTCAGCTGAATGCGGACCTGCCTTTCATTAGGTTGGTCTCGAATGAATGGATGCTTCATCAGCTGTTCCGTGGCTGGTCGCTGGCTGTGATTCTTTACCAAGCAGCTCTCAATAAATGACTGGAATTTTTTTGACCTGCCAAACAAAAGAGATGAACTCGCAGATAAAATGACAACATAAAAGAAAAGCAAATACATCCTTTGAAATGTGGCTTTAAAAAGGAAAAAAAGAAATGGCCATACTGTGAGTACAGGGATCATCCAATCACAAACCAACCTCAATATATTAGCACAATAAAGTTTAAAGGTCAAATCACAATCAGCATACATATAAGGTAACATATGGTAGTTATTATATGCATGGGAACATTGTCACACAGGGAACAGTCCCTTACACAAAAGGTTGGGAGGAATCAAGAGGAAAAGACCTCTGTGGGAAGCAAGCAGCACTTTATCTATGACTCCTAGAAAGCCTGGCTTCCTCCTAGATAAACTCTATGCTAAGAAGGTCTGGGAGCAGGGAAGGCCTGGAGGCAGATACCACACAGGTAATCAGGGTGGCGGTAAGGCCCCAAGGCAGCTGAAGTAACTGTAGACTTGTGGACTGGAGCCAGGAACTGTGGGTGGGGCATGTGTGTTCCTGCTGGAAGTTTCCAGGAGTGATCCAGAGCTCAGTGGGACCCCTGATACCTGAGCAGCTTGCCTACTCAGCAGGAAGCCATTTCCTTTTGCTCTCTGTCGCCCTCCTGTGGCTGCACTGAGGATCCCAGAAGAATCCCTTTCTCAAATTCCCCAACAGGGACATTTCCCAGAAATGTATTTAGTTCAGGCTCTAGAAGTGTCTTCCACACACAGAATATCATGTGTAGCACGTCCTCCAGTATCCAAGTGCAAGGGCTGGGAGAAGACTCAGCAGGTAAAGCCTGGTGGGTACTGAGCAGCTGCTATCCTAGCCCTAGAGGGAGGTGGGGGAGACTTAAAGGATGTCTCGGAGCAGAGGTAGACTCACCAGCATCAGGAGAGACCTTTATCAACAAAGTGGACGAGAGAACCAACTCCTGAAAGTTGTCCCTTGACCTCTGCACGTGCACTACGGCATGTGCTTACCTACACAAACACACACATACACATACGCACACACACACACACACACACCATGAACCATGAATCCACGCATGCACACACACATGCACACACATACACACACACATGCACTCACGCATGCACGCACACCGTGAATGCATGCATGCACACACTCACACACATATACACACAGAGAATGCTTACTATATATTACATATGCAATAAAAATAATTTCAGAGAGAATACATTTAGGATATTCTCTGCTTCTTACCTTATGCCACGTTTTTCAAATAATATATTTTCTTCTTACATTTCTAAATTATGTATACATTTATAAAGTATCTCGCATCCATCTAAAAGCAATGTAGCATCCTTAGCTACTGCCTGTCTCACAGATGAATTCGGGTTGGCTATGTCATGAACATAGTGAGAACAGAACCATCCATATACCTGCTTTGGTGACCTCCAGCTCAAACTCCATTCTTTTTTACTGGAAGTTTTCAGAGGTGCCAGGAAGTGCCCAAGTCATTGTCACATTGTGAGCAAACTACCTGCACTACACATGCAGTGGATGAATGCACGGACGTACATATGGATCTGCCTGACAACAGTGTGTCCTGGCTGCATCCCAATCTGTGCTTGTGAGAAGCCTGAAGGGAGGTCTGAGGACTGGGGAGATGGCTCGGTGGATAAAGTGCTTGCTGTGCAAGCACAAGGACCTGCATTTGGGCCGCTAGCATCCATGTGCACAGCTAGAATGGCGGTGTGCACCTCTAGCACCCATGTGCACAGCTAGAACGGCGGTGTGCATCTTTAGCACCCATGTGCACAGCTAGAATGGCGGTGTGCACCTCTAGCACCCATGTGCACAGCTAGAACGGCGGTGTGCACCTCTAGCACCCATGTGCACAGCTAGAACGGCGGTGTGCATCTTTAGCACCCATGTGCACAGCTAGAACGGCGGTGTGCACCTCTAGCACCCATGTGCACAGCTAGAACGGCGGTGTGCACCTCTAGCACCCATGTGCACAGCTAGAACGGCGGTGTGCACCTCTAGCACCCATGTGCACAGCTAGAACGGCGGTGTGCACCTAGAATCCCTCTGTTGGGAATGGGGTACAGGACAGGCAGATCCTTAGAGCTAACTGACAGAGCTAATAGTCTAGCCTTTTAGTTAGTTCCAGGGTGCTAGAGGTGCACACCGCCGTTCTAGCTGTGCACATGGATGCTAGCGGCCCAAATGCAGGTCCTTGTTAGTTAGGTCTTTTAGACAGTCTCAACTGTGAGATGAAAGGGATTGAGGCGGTCACCCGACACTGTCTTTTGGCTTCCAAATAGGTGTGTGCAAATGTGCATGTGCTCTAGCCCATATATGTATACTACACACACACACACACACACACAGAGAGAGAGAGAGAGAGAGAGAGAGAGAGAGAGAGAGACATAGAGAGAGATTGGTTGCAAGGAATAATATGATTTTCTTTCTCAGATCAATCAAATAAAAATCCTGAAAAAAGACTCATCTAAAGAATGAACTGGGAACTATAACACTAAGCTCAAAAAACAGTAGCAAACCTGGCAAATTCCATACAGGGCTGCCGTGGGCAGGAAAATCTCCATCAAAAAGATGAAAACAAAAGCGACTTATGACAGAGCTATTAAATATTCACAAGGAATGAAACAGTTCTCTCACTGGCAGCTAGGAAGAAGTGCTTGTTTTTTTTTTATTGTAAAGTGCTCTGCTATTAATTAGAGGGTGATAAATAAAAGCAATCACATCCAATTTGAGAAATGAGATCCAGACCTCAATAGACTGTGCATTCCTTTATCTGAGACTGACATCTGAAAACAAAACAACCAAAAAAAAAAAAAAGCCAGAAAGCCTCCAGTTCTGCAGGCAGAACTAGAACTGTGTGTTAGCAGTGCTCCCTTAGCAGAGCCCCCTGTGAGAGTTCCCTTTCCAGAGCTCTGCTGGAGGGAAGGGCCTGGCAGAGAACGGCTGGGCGTCCGAATGACAGAGATAATGGACTGTGTTCTATAAAGGCATCATTTGAAGAGATAATGTTGCTCACTTAAAATACATTCTCATATCCAGTGTGTTGGCACATTCCCCAAATTGCAGCAACTTGAAAGGCTGAGGCAGGAGGATCACCAGGAGTTTAAATATATATATATATATATATACACATATATATATACACACATATATATGTATGTATATATATGTGTGTATATACATACATATATATGTATGTATATATATGAAGCTGTATGGGTTATACAGTACATCTGAGCTGAGGACAACTGGGACTAACAGAGGAACCCTGTCTCCACAAAACAAAACCAAAGTAAACTCCCCACATCTTCAAAGAAGGGGTCACTTATTTTCTAAGTTAGTGTGACCAAGGAATCAATATGTTTAATTGCACATTTAATCACAGTACTTCATGGGTGCTGAATACCTGCTCACTGGGTGTTTCAATGGGTTAAAAGTAAATTTAGAGTACTGTTGGTAACTTAGCATTGTCTCTTAGAATAATAATAATAATGTAATTAAATAATTAAAAATAACTTAAATAATAAAAGGTAACCCCCAGGAAGGTTAGTGACACAGTCTTGCCAAGAGGCGGATGAAGTGCTGCATGACAAGAGGTGATGGGCACGAGAGATGGATGACTTTGGATGGAAAGGGAATGCTAGTGGCTAGTGTTTGGTGTTTACAGTCTGAGGTTCGACAGACTCACCCCAGTTACACACCGAAGTTGCTTACATCCACATTGACAAATTTGGCCTTGAAAGTCTGTCATGGCCCTATGCTAGTTCTCACTACCCCATTTCTCTTCCTTGGACTTCAGCACTTACTGTATGACTCATGACAAATGGCTTAACTTTTCTGGGCCCATTTCTGTGACTGCAAATACAACCGTCTCCAGAACTTATTCAAGTTAATCCCTTTAAAATGCTTCTTGTGATTAGCACGAGCACACTGCAGGGACATTTGACAATTATCTGAGTACCACTGGACTCAAGGAAGAGAAAATTCTTTCCTAAGGACTGCAACACAGAAATGAGACATTACTAATATCCCCCATGCGTGTGTGTGCATACACACACACACACACACACACACACACACACACACACACACAAACTTCTGTTGAATAAAATGGGCACTGTCAAGCCCTGTTCAGTGACAGGGAGATGTTTGAAATACGACATTGTTCTTGTGAGACATCACAGAATATTTCTGCTCAGTGGAGTTGGCCAGAGTCACCAGGTGGTCCTGTCCATTGCTAGCTAAAATGGTATCGAGCATGTGACTGCACAATGTTCATTAAGGGAATTGATCTAGATATATTTGATTTCAAAAAAACTGAACAGAAAAGGTTAATTTCAAAGCTTGTGGGTTTTGATTTTGATGAAGTACACAGTCACAATACAAACTTGCAAATTCAATTTATTTAGAATATTTCATGACATCTACTTTATATCATCATTATTTTATTTGGAACACACACACACCTTTATCCTTTCTCGAAACAAAAGTGCCCTGACAGCAGGCATGGAGTGTGAAAAATAGTGAGGCTTGTGGGTCTGGTGTGTACTGGCTAGGGTTTTTTTTTTTTTTTTTTTTTTTTTTTGTCAACTTGATACAATCTAGGGTCTTTTGGGAAGAGCTATCTTCAAATGAGAAAATGCCTCTATCAGATTAGCCCGCAGGCAAGTCTTATAGGGGCATTTTCTTGGTTAATGATTGATATAAGAGGACCCAGCTCCCTGTGGGCATGGAGGACTTGCAGCAAGGTTTTCAAAAGCTGCTGAGGTCAGGCAATGGGTGGCAGAGTCAGATCCTCTTCAGGAAGGCCCCATGAGCCCGGACATAGGGCTGTGAAAGGAAGCCTCACTCAGGATGTCAGAGAGCCAGGATTGTGGGGTGTTCACTGAGGAAAGCCATTCTAAGACAGGCTGTGTGTGCTGGAGATAGAGCAAGAGAGGCAAGGCCAGTGGAGACCAGAGGACACTACCACGGTGTGAGATGCTTGGAATGGAGCTATGGGATTTGTTTCCCATGCTAGGTGCAGTCCTGGCCTATGCCCTATTTTCCCTTTCTGTCACCATATTCCTTTCCTCTTAGAATGAAAACTTTCATTTTGTGCACTGTAAATCAGAAATAGTTGACTTAGTTTTTAACTTTACAGGTTATCACAGCTAAGAGACTACCTTGGGTATCACCAGAGACTTTGGGCTTTTGAGCAATTAGATCTCAAACTGTTTAGATTTGGGGGACTCTTAAAGATGAACTAAATCTACATTGCTCTATGAGATGATCATGAGTCTTCGAGGTCCAGGGGTGGAATTTTAAAGCTTAAATGATATGTCTGAGTGTCCAGCAGACAAGGGTGGACTTGAGGTGTTTCATCTTCATTGCCGGCCTACCCAGACCTGGAATCACCTGGGAGACATACACCCAAGTGTGGTGGTAAGGGCACGACCAGATGGCAGGTGCAATCTAGGGGGGAAGATCTGTCTTGAATGTGGGCAGCACTGTGCACGGATTAGAGTCTCTGTTTTAATGAAGAGGAAGGAGGAGCACACCTGAACATCAGCACTCACCTCTCTCTGGCTCTTGACTGTGGACATAGTGTGACAACTGTTTCACACCCCCACTGCCTTAATTTCCCCTCGTGACAGACTGTGTCACTTCTCTAATTGTGGGCTTTGTCAGGAGTTTTGTCCCAGAAACAGTGCAGGGATAGACGCGGCCCCTTAGGTGACATACCTCTGGATGGCCTCTGTGGGTGAGCTCAAAATATCTCCCCAGAACCGTGAAGAAAGGGGAGGAGGCTTAGCGGCAGGGGACAGGAAGTAATACCCGCGCCACATAGCAGGCTCTCCTAGGGAGCTTGGCACACTCCAAGCAGGAATCTGGCAGGCAGCAGGCTTTGCTATGTCGCTGCTGTTGCTTCCAGGGGAGGGAACGGAGCTGGCTCCCCTCTCCGGGAGTGGGATCCCGGGAGGAGAGAGAAGAAATGGCAGCAGAGAGAGGAAGGGTCCTCTTGTGCTCTTCATGGTGCCCAATGAAAGGCTGTTGCTGGGGAGAGAACGCGTCTGGTACCACGGTGACCCTCTGAGAGGAAGGAGAGCAGAAAAGCTTTGCCTTCGGTTACCAATAGCAACTCACACTCCCCCTTGCCGGTCTGGCGACTTAGAGACTGTCATTGCTGGTGGCTTTTCTGTTTCCTTCCCCTCTCTCTGTAGTGTGCCTTTCCTCCATTCAGCTGGGGTTGCTATGTCATTACCAGCTGATTGGTACTAATTAAGCCTGCTCTATGTGGTGGGTGTGTGCTGTGGGTGGGAAACACGAGGACGCCAGTCAAGGGCCTGAGCCTCAAGTCATATGAAAAGGGCCAAATGACTTGTTCCTTTTCAGTTGAACTGCCCAGGACTTACATCTAGGAGGGAGAATAGTAGGAGGTCACAGGGGGGCAGGGATTAACTCCAAGACAAGAAGAACCAGAGATGAAAGAATGTAAAAGAAGGCCATGCCACTTCTGTAGCAGGGGAGGGGAACATCAGATTTTTGTTACAGAATAATAAGATGTACAAACGGAAGTGACAGCTCATATCCGGCTTAACCTGAGGACTCCATTTTCACACCTCACCAGATCGTTCACCATCCACATTCCCATCATGGCCCCTCATGATAGTGTGCATGTGGTAGTTCTTTAGAACAAGTCACCTTCATGTCAGGACAAGCTTACTAAGAACAAAGGTTATACTGCTTTCCCCAAAATAGGAAGCCAGCATGCCCTGTCACAGAGAGAAAGAGACTAAAAAAAACCCCACAAAGATCCACAATTTCCCATGCCAGAGACATCGCATGGACCATTAGCGGGTCTGTGTGGGTGTGCGGGGAACCACTGTCTTGAGGACTAGAAGCCAGTCAATCTAATGAGCTGACTCTAAATCGTCACATCTCTGATGAAAAGTGCCATGTAGTCAGGAAAACACACTGCGGTCATAAATCATGGCGTTTGCGTGCCATTACTTGGGTTTCATTTTGGCTAATGGCTCTTTGCCGTGAGGATAGGGTTAACAATGTGCTGTACTGACAGCAGTTAATGAAGCTGCTAGTCCAAGATGAATGGTAGCTTGCAGAATGTCACCTGCATGCTGCGGGATGCATCCTTCTAATCCACCCGGAAGGACCTGGAGAGGGATCCGAGGCAATTCAAAAGATCTCAGAGAGGCTGAGCACATGGCTAAGTCAATACAGTGCTTGTCCTGCAAGCACAAGGACCCGAGTTCAGATCCCCAGCACACACATGGTACAGTAGCCAGGTACAGTAGCATGTGTCTGTAACCTCAGTGTTATGAAACCTGAGCCAGGGGGATTGATGGGTCTCACTGGCCAGCCAGTCCAGGCAAAGTGGTGACCTCTGTGTAATGAAACACCCTTTCTATAAAACTAAGGTAAGGAAGCCACTGTGAATGATAATTGAGGTCAACCCATGGCCTCTGCACTCAAGCACACATGTGCACCTGCAGCAGACACATGTTCACACACACACACACACAAACATACACACACATACACACACACACATACACACACACATACACACACACACACACATACACACACACACACACACATACACACACACACACAGGAAGGAGCACAAGAAAGCTTTGTCCTCATATCTGCAAACTACTGGAGGGCAAACTCACCACTTCTTAGACTTGAGGCGAGGTGCTGGGTTCCGGGGGATGAGGAAGAGGGCTCTCATAGGATGCATGTCACAGAGGGCTGTGGGAGACCGAAAACAAGAACCAGAGCCAGTCAGAGGCCAAATCCACGCTACCATCTTAGCTGTGCAGAAAACACTGCACAAGTGTTCAGTGTCCATAAGGCGCCTGCTAGGAAGGGGTCAGATGCCCAGATACTCTGTTGAGCAAGCTTTTCAAAGGGCTAGTGTCTAATTAGATGAATATCATAAAATGCCCATTTTAAGCAGATACTAACAATCCTAGTAACCACAACTTCATGTCATAAGGAAAATAAGCTAAAGGGCCAAACATTAGCCATCTCTGCTGTAGGTAGCCAGCTGCCATTCAAAATCAACAGCAGCAGATGTCAGCTATGATTGGCGTGGCTGAGGTAATTTTCTTTAACAAAAGCCTAAGCTATAATCTATGAGGCATCAAGACATCCACAGCCACAGCCCTATCTCCCTATTGGAGGTTCATGCAAGCACTGCTATCTACACACATTTCTAGGCTCTTGGTACCCTGCCAGGACACCAAATGTCCCGAGCAGCTTTCAGGTTTCATGGGGTGCCTTGAGTTTGAAACCCTCCAGCCCCAGGATGACCACGGGATGAAGTCAGCTCATAAACAATATCGTGAGCACACTCTACATTCTAATTTCAATCCACATATCCTATTGCTTACTTTCTAACAGTGAGAATACATTTTTTTTGGTACCAAGATTGAGAATATATGCTCCCTCGATGCCAGAGGAGTCTGTGGGTAGTTTATTTTTAGTCTTGTCTACCACTCAGAATGATAACACACTTTTAAGAGTGTGGTATCTGAAATTTGGCGACTCACAAATGTCATCATGAGCAAAGAAAATTTTGTCAACAAACACGTCCAAGTCAATCACGCCGCACATGGATTCAAGGAACTTAAGGAAAATAAGAGGGCAGCGTGGACTCTGAGAGTCCTGAGTCTAAGAATGAACGGTCACGAATGTCTTTGCAGGTCTTTTCAGCTCTGCAAGGGGTGGATAAGAAGGTGTGAAGGCATGGGAATGCTCATGCAAGGACACTCCTAGGGGATGGAGCAGGGGCCAGCAAAGAGTCATGCTATAGTGATGCAATCCTAGCCCAGGGTGGAGGAGGGAAGGTGGGTCCTAGATGTCCTGTAGTCCCAGGCAGGGACAGCTAGGTATTAGGGTGTTGCTTGAATCACAGCTGCCTGCAAAGTGAACCCATGTCTTCCAGGAAAGGGTGTGTTGGTGTCTACTAAGGTTGGCACTGACAGGGACAGTCAGGGAGTTCTGGGAGGTACAGCCTCAATCCTCCACCACGGCAACAGCTTCCAGAGGTCTTCTTTGGTGCTAGAGCAAAGTTCCAAGGGACTAGGGAGGTTCTCAAGATTGCAAGCATCTGGGACACTGCTCCTATAAGGGCAGGGACATCTTTAATCCCAAATTCTAATATTTCCAGAAGAGGCGCAGCCTCTGAGTGCAGGTGCTTGTGAAAGCTGCGCCTAGGAATTGAGCTTTGGAGCTCTGTACATGGGAGCTGACATTGTCTGTGGTTGCGCCAAGTTCTGTGTGAGGCAGAGTGCCTCAGGAGTGAGCCCCACTGTAAGTGGGTAAGGCAAAAAGACTCGCCCAGGTTAGTGTTCTTTTTCCTAGCAAAACCACGCTGCTCTGAAATGAACAGACATCCTGGCTGATTTAAGATCCTCCTGCTCCTTAAATATGCCAGAGCAGACCCATGCCAGGCTCAGTGGAGCAGAAGGAGTCCAACCGCAGGCCTGGCAAGGAGCCTGCAGGACCCGCAGGACCACCCAGCAGCAAATGTTACCCAGGGAAGGAACTTACGGGGTGCTCCTTCTGCCATCTCGATGGCGGTGATTCCCAAAGACCACAAGTCACTCTGTAAAACAAGAAAGCACAGATACACACAAATTCAATTAACAGAGGACAATTTGGTTAAACCTGGTAATGACTTCAGAACTGCCTATGGGGAAGTCAATCCATTGTCTGTTTGCAAACCTATTTCTCCCACCCAGCTGCGGAGCTGGAGGAGTCACGCTCGCTTTTCTCTGCACGTATTTTTCCTGGTGCCTGGCATATGGTATGTTTCCAATAAACGTATGAAAACACATATAAGGGCTTTTAAAGTTAATTTATTACTGAGACTTACATGTCAGTGGAGCCATAGGAAATTTTGCTGTTTCCAGTTTTTTAACTTGTGTAAAATAAGGGTTTCACGATACTATTACATCTGCCTAGCATCTACTTTCCTCCCATCTCTCTTCCAGCCTCCTCTTTTCCCCTTCCACACTCTTGTTAGTCTCCTTCCTCCTCCCAGATAGGGTCCCCCTCCCATCTGCTCTTCGTCTCAGACACAGTTTTTTCTTTCAATGCTTTTATTGGGCTATAGCTGTTACATAGTACATTGCACATGTATGAAGATACCACCCGCTAAGGTGTGGCACTCCTGCGACTCCGCCATCATGTCAAGGCAGCAAGTATAACCCCCAGGAGACTGCACTCTCCCCTTGTGGGTTTCCCCTTCTTTCCCGGCTCTCTTTCCATCACTGTAGATTACATCTTCCAAATTTCATAAAAAAAAAAAAGTAGGTGGCCCTTTGCATCTGTTTTTTTTTTTTCACTCATGAAACATTCTGGAAGGCCCTCCTGATTGCATCATATTTTGATATTTGTGTCTTTTTGTCATTTTAGCAGTATTCTACTAAGCGGATGTACTGGAGTCAGATACACTTGCTGAGAGATATTTGGAGTGTGTCCAGTTTGGGCTACTCTACAGAAAATGGTTGCAAACCCTGGTGTCTAAGCCTTGGGGACAAGCTTTTATGCTTTCTAAATAAACTCAGAACTTCCGAACCATTTAGTAGGTATTAGTCACATTCAATGTGTCCAGTGCACAACATTGTAGCCGTTACAATGACAGGACGAGGATGGGAGGTTCTGAGGGGGGACTTCACGGGCATTTCAGTACAGGCTCTCTCGCTCATTTATAGACTGCCATGGAGGACAGGTCTTCAGCTCTAACTGCCTTCTTTTTTGTTTTTCAAGACAGGGTTTCTCTGTAGCGTTGAAGCCTATCCTAAAACTATCTCTTGTAGACCAGGCTGGCCTCGAACTCACAGAGATCTGCCTGCCTCTGCCTCCCGAGTGCTTCTACCTTGCCTTCTTACATTTGGCTGACTGTCATGTCCTAGTCAGAGTTTTCCATGGCCAGGGCTTCCCGCTTTACTGGAAGGAATCTCCATGTCTCTCTATTCATGTGTGGTGATCTCTAAGAACGTCATCCCATGTCAACAGGACAAGGAGGAAACCATGAAACAAGCCCAGAGGATGCTTGCTGCTCCCTCCTCTCAGCTGATGGGTAAAAACACCTAAGGTCCAGGGATTGCATTCTGATATCATCTGCCATCACACTCCCAGGGTTTTAGGGGTTTTATGTACATTATTCAAAATTCTTCCTTGTAATTCTCCTTTGCACTCAAATTATAAATATCAAAGTGAAGCTTCCTTGCTATCCCCATCAAACAAATGTCAAGGGCACAAGAAGGTGTGTGTGGGGGGAGGGTATAATTGGAAGGGAGTCATGGACTACATGCTGAGTCATTCCCTGGCACTGAATTCCTCAGTAGCCTGTGACTGGCAGGCAGCCTGCTCAGTATATGAGCAGAGTTCCTTAAGATATACAAAGGGATATACTGGGTGCCTCGCCTACCTCCCAGATTGCAGTCCCCTTAGAGCAGGTAGCAATGGGGACACTGAGGTGCTGGGCCAACACAGCAGTGCGGGGAGTCAACTGCTGTCCTCGCTCTCTGTTCCTTTTCCGGATTTCTTCCAGAACTCTAGATGATATAAACACTCTCAGAATGTGCGTGTTCCATCAAATGACCGTTTCTTGTGTTGGCTCAGGTGTGTAACGCGACAAAGATGAGAACATGGCTCTCTTGTACCTGGCTTTACAGTTGGCGCACAGAGTGGCTTTGGAACAGGAGAGAACATCAAGACACCACCTGTATGGGTGGTGTCAGACAGGAAACGGAGAAGAGCTGGAAGTGGAGAGTCAGCATCAAAGGTCCCTGTGCTGTTCTAATAGTACTCCAGTGTCCTCAGGACTTGCTATTTTCTCCAGCCGTTTCCCAAAAGCCTCGGAACAGAGTATCTCTGGAGCATGAGGAAGCAAGGCTCTCTGCTGCTAACTGCCAGGGTAGGGGTGGATTGGAATGGCCTTCAGGCCCAGGGTGCTCTGTGCTGTGTGACAGTTCACACATTTGAAAAGAAATGTCGGCAACAAGCTGAGAGGGCTCCAGGCCAACCTTCAGAGAGAGAAAAATTACAGCGCAGCCAGGCTCATTTCTGTTTCTGAGTTTCTGTTCAAACTTTCTCACATGGAGGAGAGGTGGCAAAGAGGACAGACCCATGGGGATGTGCAAGCTGGCCTCTCTTTTCTCCCTCCACCCTTGAGGAAGTCTGGATCCCGGCAGCTTCCTTCTGCTGTGCCAAACACTGGCTTTTCTCGCGTTAGCCGCTCACACAGGTGATGGCCATCACTATCCTGTCTATTGACACATCACTAGTTTAATGCAGTCTGTGTTTTATATGCCCTTTGCCTCAACACATAATGCACACACACACACACACACCCAGGGTGGGAACAGGGAGAGGGAGAGAGATGGAGAAGGAGGGAGATGGAGAGAGGGAGAGAAAGAGAAAGAGAGAGGGAGCGAGGGGGCAATAAGCCTGTGTTTTGTTGGTCTTTGTTTTGTTGACTGGACAGTATGGTACATAGTAAACTCTATTTATAGATGTGATGAATGAACAGGAAAGGAGCCATGGTCCAGGCTGCCTGCTGTCTTCACAGACCTCCTTCCCCCAGATCACTGAGTCCATATAGAAAATGGAGCTGGCTCTGTTATCACAATGCCAGGTCTAGAGAATTCATCTTTAAGTCAGCAACCCACAAATAATTGTCCCTGACTCTTACTCTGTCCACAAGTGAGTGAGGTGTTGGAGAAACAAAGGAGCAGAGATTCAGTGACATCCCATTCCTATGCTGCAAAGCTAGCCTTAGCTTCCTAGAGGAGATGTAGGTTGGTAGAGAGAACATGTTTCAAAAGCAGACACAGCCAGACTTGATTCCACGTTCCTGATTTAGTGACTTGCAGAATGCTGCCCAGCTTAGCTTTCTCAACGGCACAGAAGGTGCTGGTGGCATGCATGTTTTCAGGAACGCTGCCTAGCACAAAATCTGGTGCACAACGGGGCTCAAGCATATGGATTTTCCTTCCTGCACTGCTGGGTGAGGGTCCATGGCCCCCAGTTTGGTTGTCATGGTTTTCTTCCATGCACTTCTGGCAGACATCACTTGTTGGCTAACCTGAACCCCACTGCCACTGTCACCTCCATTTCATGGTACCCCAAAGCTGCACTTGTGTATCCTGGCACCCCAGCAGTGGGCTACATTTCTGGCCAGAGCTATGACCCATGAAACATACACAAACAAGCCTGGGAGTTTGTGCTTTCCCAAGATAGGGAGCTAATACAGCTGGTGGTGTCCTACAAGCTCCTTTCCACTTCTTCATGCCTTGAATACAAACATGGTGTCTAGAGTTATAGTACCCGTCTTGCAGCCTGAGGTCATTGCCAACTGATGAATGACACCAGGGCAGAAAGGCAGCAGGCAGAGTTTCTGAAGCTATGCTCATCACATCAGCTCTGGACAGCATGACTCCAGATGATTCTAAGCATGATATTTGCAAATGATCATATGTGTGTGTATATGTATATGTGTGTGTGTTTATAGCTGTGTATATGTGTATGCATGTATACACATTTATATTATGCACAGGTTTTCATGTATGTATATGTAGTATGTGTACATATATATGCATGTATATATACAGTAATAGTAGGAGAAAATATGAAGAGAAAGAGCTTGACTGTAGGAAAATGGGAAGTCTCACCTGCTATGCCTTCCTCGAATTGTTCCACAGGAAGAAGGGATGGTCAGTAAAGAAAAGATGTCCCTCTTTGTTAGCCTTCCTGTTCACATCAGAGCCCCTATCATCCCATCCAAACAGCCTGTGTATCTTTCCTTGTCTAGTCACTTGGCCAGGCCAGTCACTTGACTACTGCTTGGTGAGTATCGTTTTGTACTGGAGTTATTCCATTTTTAAAAGAGAGATAGTTATATTCTTAAATTCTTGATCATATAGACCCAAAGCTGCTTGTAAGCTTTGCTTAACTGCCTATGTTGGAGGTTCTAAATATCCCTGACAAGCCCTGTTTAAGCTTTAGATAACTTAGTGGATCCAAAGACACTTCAGAACTTAAATAAAGGGGGAAATGCTCGCACTACCACTGGCAAGACTACCACTGGAGATGAGCAGGGAAGAGAGCACGATAGGAGAGCAAGGCAGAGATAAGTCTCCTTCGTGACCACGGTGTGACTCGTTTGGGCAGGCGTTGGGCAATTCATTATTCCAGCGGTGCTGTGCCGCCTGGCCTGCAGCATGATTAATAGCCCATCCCTGTGCACATTACAAACAGAACAAAGACAAATCCAAGTGCCTCTGAGAAGGCAGACACAAGGTACAGTTTCTGGCTGAGGCCTGGGGACAGTTGACACACAGTAACTTGCACAAAACAAAAGAACATTCTTCCTTATCTGGGCTTCCCAGCTCAGTGGAAGAAAGCATCCATACCCTAAAATTGCCATGCAAGGAGAGGAATGGCATAGCTAGAAGCCTATTGTGCTCTACTGCAACCACGGACCTGGCTCTGCCACGCAAGGAGAGGAATGGGTAGCTAGATGTCTAGTGTGCTCTACTGCAGCCATGGACCTAGCTCAGATACAGCACCGGTCACTTGGTGACAAGACAAAGGCAG